ATTCTGTTATCCTTATTTTGTAAGTTCAGTAATGTCCCCTCTTTCATACTTCAGTAATTATTATTATTATTATTATTGTTCAGTCAGCTAAAGGTTAGTCAGTGTTTCTATCCTTTCAAAGAATTTACTTTTGGTTTTGTTAATCTTCTATATCATTTTTCTAGTCTCTATTTTGTCTCTGTTATAATCTTTATTATTTCCTTTTTCTTGCATTAGGTTTAGTTTGCTCTTCTTTTATGTTTCTTAAGGTTATTGATTCGGTTATTTCTTTCCCTTTAAGGTAGGCTATAAATTTCCCTCAGAACTATTTTTGCTGCGTTTCATAAGATTTGGTATGGTGTTTCATTACAAACTTTCATCTCAGAGTATTTTCTAGTTTCCTTTGTGATTTCTTCCTTGGTCCACTGGGTTAAGAGCATCTTGTTTAATTTCCACATATTAGTACATTTTAAAAATTTCCTTTTGCTATTAATTTACAATTTCATGTTATTGTGGTTGAAAACATACTTTGTATAATTTCAGTCTTTTAAAATTTATTGAGACTTGTACTGTGGCCTAACATATGGTCTATCTTGGAGGGTATTCCCTGTGTACTTGGAATGTGTATTCTGTTGTTTTTGGGTGGATTGTTCCATTGATGTCTACTAGATCTAGCTGATTTAGAATAGTTATTGAGTGTTCGATTCCCTTGTTATTCTTTAAGTCTTTTGTTGATTTTTTTGTCTAGCATCCTTTCATTTCAGCTCCAAGTACTTCATTGAGCACTCACTTAGGGCAGGTTGGCCAGCAATGAATTCTCAGTTTTTGTTCATCTGGGAATGTCTTAATTTCTCCTATGTTTTCAGTTTTGTCAGACACAGATACAACCCCCCACCCCCCACAGCTCTTTGAATATACCATCTAATGCCTTTTGGTTTCTACAGTTTCTGATGAGAAATTAGGTATTAGTCTTATGGAGGATCACTTGTACATGATGAGTTACCTCTCTCTTGGCGTTTTCGATTTCCTCTTAGCCTTTGGCTTATAACAGTTTGATTGTGATGTGTCCCAGTGTACATCTTTTTAGTTCATCTGACTTGGAGCTCAGTGAACTTTTTGGATGTGTAATGTTTTCCACCAAATTTCCAGTATCCTGACAATATTTCTTCAAATATTCTTTCGGACTCTTTCTCTTTTTCTCTGAGACTCCTATTGTCTGTATATTGTTGATGGTGTCCCACAGGCCTCTGAGGCTATTTCCTTTCATTCATTTTTTTTTTCTTTTCCTTAAACTGGAACATCTCAATTGACCCACCTTCAAGTTTTCTGAGTTTTTTCTTCTGCCTGCTCAAAATTGCTTTTATCCCCTATAATGTATTATTTTGTGTACTAATTCTCATGTCCAAATAAGTTTCTTTTCATAATTTTTATAAAGTATAACTTTAAATTATAACTTTTAAAATTATAAATTTATTTAAAAACTTCCTTTTTATACCTGTATCTTTTTATTGTATTCTGTATTTGGTAAGACACTCTTCTCATACTTTAGTCCTTCAGACTTGGTTTCCTTAAATCCTTGAGTATATTTAAAATAGTTAAAATCTTTGTCTAGTAAGTTCAATATCTGGGCTATCTGTTGGAAATCAGACTCTCTTGCCCCACCCCATTTGTTGTTGCTGCTTTTTATAGCTGTGATTATATTTTAGTGACTTTCATGAACTCATTCTGTAAAATCTATATTCTTTGTCGTGTGACCACTTATGTGTCTGATTCATTAGCTTAACTGTCAACTAATGATTAGATGCAGAGTTCCCTGAATGCCTAAAACCAAAAAATTGCTCCGTCTTTGCTGAAGGGCTCTGTGTGCCTGTTGGGACATGTCTTGGACACTCAGCCAGGCAGCTTCTAACTTTGCTTCTGCCTTCATTCCCTGCTTGCTTAGATCCTCAAGGTCAGGCAGAGGGGAGAGATTGGGGTCTCTCTGTTCGTTCGTGAACATGCACACAGTCCTAAACATGCACAGAGGCCTTCTAGATTCCCAGAAATATGTAAGAGTTTTTCAAAGTCCTTATGAATATCTCATTCCCAACCTTTCTTCCAAAGCTTTCTGGTTAGTTTATTATTTGCCCCAACTGTTATCCATTGCTTCATGTAGCAATGACAGGTAAATGTTTTAAATAAATTCCCCACCCCCACCCCAGTAGAGGGTGAGTTCCATAATAGGTACGATAAAAGCCAGTTTTTTGAATGGGTTTTCCCAGGAACAATCAGACAGATCAAATAAGGTCCATTTTGCCAATAAGGTCCATTCTGCTCTTTCCCATACCATGAATGTGGCATGTGCTTTTCAAGACTACTGCTGAACTAGGGAGCAAGGTATGGAATTGGCATAAGTTAAAGCACCAAAATGCTTGCTGTTATTACTAACATTTGGCTTTTTTTTTTTTTTAAGTAACTCAGGTTACTGTGATTTTTTTATTAGTTTCTAGAGTCCTGAAAAAGTTGACTTTGACCATTTTTTGAAGGCCAGTTTTATTGCTACCTTTATGAGGGGACAAAATTTTAAAATTCACCATTTTTGCTCTCACCATGCTATTATATGATTTTACATCTTAACCAAATAGTTAATAGAACCCAATCATTATGATAATCTCAGACTGAACAATGTACAGTTGTGGTTTGAAACTTTGTTTTCTTGCTCTCAACCTCTTATCCCAAGGACATCCGGCTGAATTATAAAGGATGATATTAGTTCATTTTTTCTTCTTGCCAACATGCACAAGCACTCTACCAAATTTCATGTTAATTTACAATATATGTAACTATCTCTGTGCAAAACAGGGAATTTCTCAATGGGAAACAAATGATTTGGTTATATTTTTAAACTCTGATGCTTATCACAGAGCCTACTACCTAGTAGGTACTTAAGAAATGCATTTAATAAGACTAATGAAAAAAATAGCTATCATATATTGAGTTCTAACTTTAGCCCAGGTCTTATGCCAAGCAAATTTCTAAACTATTTTTTAAAATTGTAAAATATATGAACAAAAGTTTATGTAACATATACGAAAAATTTTAAAGAATATTTAACAGTACTAACAACCTAGCATAAGAATAAAACATTATCAGTAACTTCAAAACATCCTGTGTTTCCCTCTCCATAATCTTAAATTGTATTAATCATTTCCTATATTTTCCTTACACCTTTACCACATGTATATCTATGTATATTTTTTATACTTTATTAAACATTCTATAAAAGGGTATTATATTATTCTGATTTCTTTCTCAACATTATATAATTGAAAACCATTCATTTTCTCACTGCTGTACTCCATCCTATGGATCTATCTAAAGACATTTAAGCTAACATTATTCTGGATAGAATAGGTTGAAGTAATAAATCCCTAAAGGAAGGATTAAAAAAAAAAGTAACCAGGATCAAGCCCGAGAGTATGCCAACTTTTAGAAATCATATAGAGGCAAAAGAGCCAGGGAAGAAGGTCAAAAGAGGGTTGGGCTAACGAAATGGGAGGAAAATTAGGAGAAAGTGGTGCCATGGAAGACTGGAAAGGATAGAATTTCAAACAGAAATGTGTGGAATGACACTGAGAGTTCAACAAGTAGAGATACAGAAGAATCTGCTGGATGTGACAACATCCAGCACTGATGAAAAGCTTATCAGGTTAGTTTTGGTGTAGTGGTGAGAGACTGAAACTATATTGGGATACTTTAAAGACAGAATGAGAAATGAGGAAGTAGATGACAGCATGTCTAAACTAGGAAAGGAAGCAGAGAAATGGAGGTGTTAGGATCTGGGAAGTAGAGAGTATTAAAAAACATGATGAACATTATGACATTATGTATGACATTAAGAATAATCCTAGCGAGAGGCCAGTTGTTGCTGAAGCAAAATGAAGGGATAACCCAGAGAGAGAAGGCTCTAATAAGAAGATGAGAGATGCAAGCCAGAGCATAAAGGAAGGGAATATCCTGTCATAGAAAGAGAAATAACATCTCAAGTACCAAACAAGGACGGAGAGGAGATGGGTGTGATGTTTGAGAATAGGAAAATAAGGAAGATTAATAGTTTCTATTCTTAGTGAATTATGAAGGATATTACATGAGAATGTGGATGAAGAAGTCCTTTAGAAACATGGAAAGTTAAGAGTAGAATTACAAACTAATATTGAATGTCTGTCTTAGTTCATTTAGACTGCTATACCAAAATACCATAAACTAGGTGGCTTATAAAAACAACAGACATTTATTTCTCCCAGTTCTGGAGGCTGCAAAGCCCAAAATCAAGGCACTAAAAGATTTGGTGTCTAGCGACGGCCTGCTTCCTCATTGATGGCTGTCTCTCACTGTAACATCACATGGTAGAAGGGACAGGGATCTCTTGAGCTGCCTGAGTAAGGGTACTAATCCCATTCATGAGGGCTTCATCCTGACAACCTAATCACCTCTCAAAGGATCCACCTCCTAATACCATCACCTCAGGGGTGAGGACTTCAACATGAATTTGGGGAAACGTAAACATTCAAACTACAGCAGTGCCCATATGAACACTGTAATCATGAATTCTGAGTAAAGTCAGTCAGTCCATTTGTGTTATCTTTTCCCTCAGGTAATATCCACCTGCTCAAGTGAAGGCACAGAGAAAGAAATGGAAAAGTTCAACCACATAAGGGTTTTGGCATTCAAACACCCTTCCTCTCTGAAAGAAGTGCAGACATGCATTTTCTAGGTTATACTTATGCCAAGTGAAAATAATTCAAAATGCAAACTCTGAAGTAATAGCAAACTTAGGTGTTATATTAATGGATTATTACTTACAATGTTTTATTTTGCTTCAGTTCTCAAGATCATACATACCACATTTCGCCTGTGAGTCTTTCACTGATTACCTCAGTTTTGTCCTATGTTGTACTTCCTTTTCTATTAGTGCATTTTCTAAAAACACATCAGTAGGATGTATATCTACAGGATAGCTGCAATAATTGCTGCTCTATACATATTGTAATATTTTATTTGAAAAAAAGCCAGCTAAAAAGCACAATAAATTTTTTGCTATAAAACAAAGGAATTTACTCATGACAAGGTATCAATCTTCTTTCACTGTAGAAATAAATTATATAAAATTTAAGTTCTTGATTTATACTTTATTTTCTGTCTTTTATATATAACACATACTAATCAAAGGGAAAAAAAACTAAAAATACAGATTTATACCCAAATGGATAATGATTATATAATCATTCTTACTCCAAACAGAATTGTATTAGGTATAAACAATTATAAACTTTAGATAAATAGGTCATATTCTATAAATACCAATTTGTTATATACAACATAATCTTCTACAAATATTAGTTTTATGTTATTACTTTTCAAAATATTTCAAACTAGTTATTTTTTTCCTTGTGCTTCAGTTTTCTCATTTGAAATTTAGGGACTTACCCCTTTTTATAGATTTACTAGAAATCAAGTTTTTTTGCTGATAAGAATGTCAAATCAGGCACACTGGGATTTATTCCTTTAAAAACACAGTCATTTTGAATCTTCCTAATAGGTAATGGTCTAAAGTCAGAGTCCAGTTACACCATAGAGATAAGACACACCGCCAATTGACAACCCTTTCTCTGGCAGATTTTTCTCCAATGTTTGAGTAGATCATTGTTTCTTGGTGTGAACACCAGATAAAATGTGTAGTTGGTTGGATTTAGGACCCATATTGTATGACAAATACCCATCTTTAAACACCAGCCTTAGACACAGCTCAGGCTGTCTACATGCTTAGAGTTCATTGGAAAGGCTGAGTTCCGCCTTGAGGTCCATTGAGGGCTCCCACAGAGTGGAATCCACCCTGTTTAAATCACTTTTCTCTCTCCTTTTTTCTCATTATTGCTGAGTGTATATTTAAAATTGTGTAAAAATGTATGCAAATATATATGGCATGCTAAAGTAGAACAGAAAGGAGATTCACTGCCATATACACCAGAAGCACAATTCACTGTTATTTTTCTCTCTTCTAACAACTCTTTAAGGGCAGCTATTTTGGGGACAGAGACATAGGCTAGGTTCAGAAAAGCTACTAAGTATACCTACTCATATTAATAAGAAAACAAATGAATCTTTAGGTAAGGAGACATTTATTAAGTCATATCCTTATACTAATTCTTAAATTTAGACAAATTTTTTATATGCTGTTAATTTAGAACTACTAGTCTTGTAAAAAAAATTCTTCAAACCTTTCATATTACTTTATGCTTCTTGAATACAGTGAAAACTGCAGAGCTGGAGAGATGGCTAGCAAAAAAAATAGAGCATCTTATTTAGAGTAGATACACAGCAATACTAGCTCAGGTCAACATGTTATTTACTTCCATGTTACTGAGACCAAAAAAAAAAAAAAATTATCGGGACTTACAATCTCATGACACAAAGAAAACTGTAACTATCAAATTTTAGAGTAAAAATTCAAAGAATAAAAAATAACCTTCAGTGTTTTAGGCAGGTCATATTTTGCTAACACAATGAAATAAGATAATCAGGAAAGAAGCGTCTGCACTTGCTGTGGCGATCGGTGAAGAATGTTCTCTGGATCTTTGTATTCATTGACTGGATTCATCACAGCTGCATACACTTCACCATAGGCTCTGCAGACTAATTCTGTAGATTGTTTTACGATCTGCTCTCTATTGATAAGCAAACAAAATGTAAACACATCATTTGAAAAAAATATTTTTACTAAGAATTATAAGACAGCTTGACATTTCAATCAATACATTTCACTTTCATTATCATCACACATGCACTATTTAAGAATCACTATACGGGTACACGATTAATCCTGATTTGGGGATAAAACATAATTTTATATTTATTATTTATTAAATCTTTCTCCATTACTATATAGGTTGCAGAGGGCATGGACTGTGTTTTGTTCCTGATATATAGTGAACTGCTATATATTTGTGCCTGATACACAGGACTGCTAAATAAGAAACAAAAACTGTGACCCAATGTCAATGTATTGATTTTGCAAAAGTGGTAACACATTAAAGAAAGATGCTTACAATTGTTCAAATTTATCAACACTTTTATCTCTCAGTAAACTTAAACTGCTCTTTCACCTATAGCTTTTACTCTAACAACCACATCTCCTAGCTTTCTCTTCAACTCTCTATATCACCCCAAGCTAAAATGTGACGCTTGCAGCAAATCACAGCTTTCTCACAAATACACATTTCTACAAAAGCACACAAAAGAACAGAGTTTTGCAAATGTTTACAAAATTATCCAGCTAGAAAAAACAGTACTGGTTCATTAAATGTGCAACAACTCTCTGCATAGTTCCATGACATTAACTTCCCGTCATCCCCAGCTACTTGTACTATTCATGTATCACTGCGAGAAGATGGTACTAATGGTTCTCATGGTACTAGCCATGAGAACACTGGTACTAATTTTCTGATTTTTACAAAAACTAATAAAAATGTAGTATTTTTTTTTTTTGAGACGGAGTCTCGCTCTGTCACCCAGGCTGGCTGCAAGCTCTGCCTCCTGAGTTCACGCCATTCTCCTGCCTCAGCCTCCTGAGTAGCTGGGACTACAGGCGCCCGCCACCACGCGCCGCTGATTTCTTTGTATTTTTAGTAGAGACAGGGTTTCACCGTGTTAGCCAGGATGGTCTCGATCTCCTGACCTCGTGATCCGCCCGCCTCAGCCTCCCAAAGTGCTGGGATTACAGGCGTGAGCCACCGCACCTGGCCATAAAAATGTGTTTTTAAAGCTTTGCTTCCAAACTTCCTTTTCTTGTAGTTTCCTACTTGTGTTAATGGCATAACAATGTCGTATCACCTCAGTTCAGGTTCTAAAATGACCTCTTGCCTGGAGTAAACGCAAACTCCTATCTATTCTTCTCTCTTTCAGTATCTTCCATATTCAATCCATCCTACGCACTGTTGTTAGATTAATCTTTCTGAGGCATACTTTCTATCATATCTTTCTCTTACCTGGAGCTTTCAAAGAGCATCAATGGCCTCTTTTGGTTTCAGAGAAGCCAACATTCCTTCTCCTACCATTCAAAATCATCTAACACTTTCCCTATCACTACTCTAATTCCAGTGCTACCCCTGACTGTTCTCCCGGCTCTGGTCTTGCTCATCTCAGTTCCTTTGCTCCTACTTCATTTTCCTAGAATGCCTCTTTCACCACTTTTAAATGCTCTCAATGTTCAGCAAAAATGTTCCCTCTTATCCATGAAGTCTTATCTGATTTTTAGAGCTAGAAATAATTACATCCTTTGTGGAATGTCCATGATACTTTTTCTGTTCCTTTTATGTAGCTTTTACCACTCCTAACTTACAATAAAGCTTCTACATTTTCCTGATGTTCAGATCCCAACAGTTTTGTATTAGGAAGGGGTTAGCTCTGCATCAAATGGATATGACTGACATATAACCCAATTTCCAAAATGTCCTTTAAAAATTATTAAATTACAGAAATACATGTTGTTCATGTCTTACCTGTCCTGCAAAATTTCAAGTAACTTGACCCTGTTTATGTTCATATGTCCCTTAAAATCCAGTATATTTTGAATATGATGGATGCTCAATAAATACATGTTCACTGAATACTTGGAGAAAAATAACTTTTTCCTTATTTACAGAGTCCTATTCTGGGCTCTTGAGCCACCACTGTTTTCCATAAATGCTGAATCAGTGGCTATTTCAGGGCAAACTGTTTCTTCACATAGTCAAGAGTACGTGACTGTGACTAGCCAGACTAACGTAATAGTTATAGCGTAATAGTAATGTTGTGTTAAGTTGTAACACAAGTCAATATCATGAGGCCATGATCAACAGAACATATTCTTTGTTTTTCTAGGAATTATGTTCTTTTTTGGTAATAATGGATAGAATAATATATTTTTAAGATTATCTGTGGAAATATATGCATCTGTGGTCTAGAAAAGAGAATAGTTGGATGGAATAAGAAGTCCACCTATGATCTTGGAATATCTGTACACTGTTCTAATGGGGTCCAAACTCTTGGTGAGTTGAAGTAACTTGACATTTTCCAAAAATTGCTAAAGCTTCCAAAATGACAGTGAGTAGTAGAAAGATATGCTGTGTAAATTTTCTGAGCAGAGTAGAGTGGTGCTACTGGTTGTACTACCTTTTTGCTGAAAGGAAAGGTATGATGGTAGAAACTGGTTTAGAAAACTACTAAACTAAATGAGGCTTGGAGATTTTTTTTTTTTTTTTTTGAGATAGTCTCACTTTGTCACCAGGCTGGAGTGCAGTGGCATAATCTTGGCTCATTGCAACCTCTGCCTCCTCAGTTCAAGTGATTCTCCTGCCTCAGCCTCCCAAGTAGCTGGGATTACAGGCATGCACCACCATGCCTGGCTAATTTTTGTATTTTTAGTAGAGACGGGGTTTCACCATGTTGATCAGGCTGGTCTTGAAATCCTGACCTCAGGTGATCCACCCACTTTGGCCTCCCAAAGTGCTGGGATTACAGGCATGAGCCACTGTGCCCAGCCTGGAGATATTTTTTGATCTATTGATTGGTGATCTTTCCTGTAATTAAATTTGCTTGACAATGAATGTAACAAAATAATGCAAAAATTATTTTTCATGAAAACATACTAGAAACTAGTATTTTAAAACATTATTACATTTAACACACATTTGATACCCACTTTTGCAACAAGTCAGATACTGGATTTTAGAAATAGTGTTCTTCGTTCTTTTCTAAGTACAATAACATAGATTTCTGAGAAGTGTATAAAGCATTCATTATCCATGCCTCATACTCAAGTCTATACTCAATCTCAATACAGCATATATTTGATCATATATAAGGAGTACACAAAATAAGGCTATTTCTTCTCATAAAAAGTATACAATGTACAATTATAAATATTGAATATGATTTTTAAAAGTTCAGAGTAACTTGTAAATGTAGTATTGTTGAAACTTCTAAAGTAGTGAAGTTTAAATTTCTCAAGTAACAGTGATAAAAAATTTAAAATTTACTGAAATTTAGTTATAACTTGACACATTTATTTCTAAGCTATATAAATTAGCTCACAAATGTCTGAAACTAACACTACAGCTGAAAATCCATTGTTAAGTCTGCAATAGATAAAAATAAAATAAAGCAGTACTGCAATAAACATAGATAATTAAATAGAATCAAGCCAGTTAAAACTAAACAAGAGTTTATAATTTATTTTAAATTTTGGTGTTAGATGGTATAGTACGTCTTCAATCTGCTCCTCACTTTAAAAAGCCACTGAGATAGGGAAAGGGTTAAAAAAAGAATATGCGTATGGTGGAGAAGATGAAGAAAGCAAAGCTGGTGGATAAAAAGAAATCTTCATGTATTACATGAAGGAAGGAGGAAGGAAAAAAAGCAAAGAATAAGGAACTGCTCCTCCTGGCCTGCTAACTGCCTGCTAAAGCCAACAGGATAGAAATAAAATGAAAAGGGAGATTCTCTAAAGTGAGTCTGAGTCAAACTCAAACTATAAAGACCAAGAACTCTGGATGACAGTGTGATTCTACATTTCTGAACAAATATGAGTTCATTTATCACTACCAAAGCGACAGGTTCCTACACTCACTTTGATTAAGTATTTTCTAATCCGTTCTATAGGGTATAGTAGAGATAAAATGGTATAGTGGAGGAAATTACTGTTAGAAGACTTACATTCTAGTTGAAGCTCTGCCACTTATTATTGTTGCCTTGAATAAGTAATTTAACCTCTACTAGTTAGATTACTAGATGAATTAGTTAATCTTTATAAGGTACTTTGAGCTTTTGAGCGATATTATTCCATTGAGAGTTAAGAGTATTTTAATGAGTTATTGTTTAAAAAAAAACTACCTACATGAATAAATACATCACATACGCATACACATACATTATTTTAGGGAACTAAGTTTCCCAAAATATGATTTATAAAAGCATATCAGTTATTTGTATATAAATGAATGTTTCTATAGTGCTAAAACCATTTTATCCTCTTGCCAGTTTACTATACTTTTTATTTACAGTAATAATTACTATGTAAATTCATCCTTTATCTTAAAAAGTATATTAAGTATCTGTCTATCAATCAACTGATCAAATGATTTTTAAAAGTTCAGAGTAACTATCTATATTGTCTGCCAGCCTGCCTGGTCTTAGCCCAAATTATTCATTAAATACTAATATCACATATGAAATACAGAGTCTTAAACAATAATGAATCATTATAGTGACAAATAATCAATGTTCAAAATGGAAAAGTTTCAAGGATTCTATGACTAAATCCAAAATGACCAACAGATCATCTCAGTTCAGTCACATGCTCCTGAAAGTTGGGAATGTCCTTATCAACTAAACACCCTATGTACTGGCAGTGAAAGCAGTGAATTTTTGTTGTTATTGTCAGCAGTGCATGCTGAACACTGGTTCTAGCATGGGCATCCACTTGATTTTACTTACTATTTTGATCAATCACAGCCTAGCCCATACTGAGGGGGAGTACCTTCAGGACTGTTTCTGTCCTCTTGCTTTTCACAACACCAAAAGATATGCAAAAAGACCAGTTGAAAGGGGAAAGTAACTTTTTAAAAATTATTATACTTTAAATTCTAGGGTACAGGTGCACAACGTGCCGGTTTGTTACATAGGTATA